ATACGAGATGATGAGATGAGATGAGATGGGTGGTTGATTGCAGATGGTAAGATCATTGAATCGGCCAAGGTATGCATTGAGTTCATTCTACCCATGTAGTGAATCTGATATGGTGAATATGTGATCATGTTAAAACCAGAGTGTTTGTTGTGGATTAGCATTGATGTTTTTGATTCAATATTCTAATGATTTGCAAGCTAATTGATCTAACATATTATTCTTGACATGATGTAGCTTTGCAGAAAGATTTTGTTGGTTCACTTAATTTGTCCAAATAACATTGTCCAATCGTTGTTGGAGTTGGAGCAATGTAGTGGACAAAGGTTAAGTAAACAAGTAAGTATGATTGCCCTATAAGTGTATGTTTTACAGGTTGATGGGTTGTACTCTATTTTGAGTTAATTACAAAGCAAAGTGTGACACACTATCCAGTAGGAAGTAAAGATCATTGCTAGCTAAGGAAGATAAGTGTCAAGAATATGAGTTATTGCAAAATGAACTCTGGAAGTTTGACCATTGTGGGGGTAAGTTGATCCTCATGTTCTCTACATTATTTTTCACAAGTATCTTTGTGTGTGTTGTCAGGAACTACAAAGGTAGTGACAAAGTAAGACAGGGGTTGTGAAAATGGTATTTCGGTGAGAGTATGTAAAGGTAGGAAGAATCAAGCAGTTCCTTACAAAGGGATGGAGCACAAGTAAGTGCTTAATCATCTAAGGAATGTGTTTAAAATCACATGTGATGTTTCATTCCAGTGACGAAGTGTCAGATAATGAGACTACATTGTTGAGGTATCTGGTTCTGTAACCCTTTAATTTTTATGTTTATGATATGCCTTGCTAAACATGTTGTTTGATATTAACAGGTTGAGTTTTAGTGCTCTTAATGTGTCCATGGCCCAAGTTGGGTGGTCAAGTGAGAAAGCTTACATGGATACATTGATGTGCTTTTAACTTTGAACTTTTGTTTTGATTGAGTCTAAAGCCTAGTTTGGTTGACTCACTGTTATTTTACACTAATGGTGTATGTTGAATCTAACTCTCTTGAGTGGTTTTTTACCAGATGATTTAGACACAGGCTGAGTGTGGCTCTTAATGTCATTTTTCTGGATATTCTTTGAGTAGGGAGAGGTGGTGATTCTTAAACGACCTGGAATCATTATCCCAAGTACTCCTAGAATATGACTGATAATGACGCCGATGTAGAGGTTGAGCATATTTTAATATCTATATCCCGGTAAGCAAGAGTGAGGAGTGATGGTGGTCTTAAGTGACCTTGACTATCAGCTCTAAGATTGCTTGAGTAGGGAATGTGAGAGGTATTGAAGAGATGAGGTTGGGTTTCTCCCTTAATGCTACGCATAGTCCATGGCTCGCTGAGCAGGATAGGTACACCGAAATGTTATAAGAGGATGAATTAAGTTGTTCTTAATGTCGAAACTCTGATGCATGAATAGTTCTTGAATTTGCAAAGTATTGTGAGTTGCACATATTTGCATGAATAGTTCTCGGATTTGCAGGAGTGTGTGATGTAGTTCACACGACGAAACCTGTGTGAGTATGAAGAGTGGCGCTCTTCTATGGAGAACAAGTATGGTTCTATTGAATTACTCATTAGTTTCCAAGAGTAGCCAAATTTTGCGAAGTTGCTTAAGCTTTAAAGTCAAGGTATGTGTTTACAAGGTCCCTTCCTCGCTCTTAAGAGTTCAAATCTTAGGATACTCACTAGGGAAGTGTTGAAAACCTTGTGCACTAATTTGTTAGTTCAAATCTTTGAATACTAACATTTAATTACTGAGACTATCATTTACTGTTCAGATTTCTTGATTTTTGGTCTGTTTGCATTAGTGGGGGTTTGTTGGAGTTAGTAATGCAACCAAAAAGTTTTTGTCTCAGACAAAATCGGGTTGGTTTCTCTGACAAAGTAGTGAAAGTAACTCCTTGGTTGAAAACTCATTATTGTACAACTAACCGCTACATGGTCGTGTACCTTGTACTACATGACCGTGTGACATACATGGTCGTGTACCTTACACTACACGGTTGTGTGGTTTTGTAGACGAACTTGTCCACACGGTCGTGTACCCTCTTCTACATGACAGTGTGTGTCAGATATTATTTGGAGTGGTTATCAGTCGGGCCTAATTAGGCACAACATAAACTAATAGGTTGTTTCGATTAATGGGTTTTTCTTGTATTGGAACTTTATAAATACAAACAAGAGCCTCTTCAATAAAACAACTTTCGAAAAACCCTAAACACATTCAACACAAACCTACCCTTTGATATCTTAACAGTTCTTGAGCAATTCCAATCTTCGAGTTCAGGTACACGGATTGCGAAGGTCGTTGTGTAAATCTTGGGGGGCATGCGTCATTGGGAAACTTGTACCGGTGATGGTGTATTTTGCTTCTAAGACAGTGGGTACCAAACCACGGCACAACTCAAGGAGGACAGGTATTTATTTGAGTATGGAGATCGATTTTGTTCCAGGGAAGTTCTTGATTTGTCTATTATTATTTATGGAATCAACATGTATTTTTCCAACAACATCCATTAACGTTGATTAAGCTACAATGAATTGTATTAGGATTGTTTCGTCGACACAAACGTGGACTGAGCATCTCCTTCCTCCATAATATGGCACTGCACAACTGCACCAGTTACAAGTATCAAGTATCCCTGGCTTTAGTAATTAGACTTCTTCTACAAGCTAGCGAAACAAATTAAAGTGGCTCGTCAACTTGGGTAATCTCTCGAGTCTCCAAACTATCTTTTACAGATCATCCTCGATCTTGCAAGTTCGAGTTATTACTCCCAATGCTCAGTTGCTAATCAGATAGTTGTCGTATATTGACCCTAGCTTTGTGGATGAAAATATGTACATACAAATATACAATCATCCACATTCGGAGATGTACAAAATAGGGAAAAATTACTTTAAATAATCCAACCTTTGTCCCATTCTCCGGAAATACACCGACCTTTGGATTATTCCAGAATAATCCAACCTTTATACCCCTTCTTCACATAATGAACCCAAATTACCGGTTACCTAAACAACCGGTCATCCCTTTCTTTTTCCTCCATACCACCATCTTTCCCCATTACCACCACCCAAAGCTCCACCCCCATGACCACCTCCTTCATCCTTCCTCCTTCCTCCATGACCATCTTCACGTTTCTCTCTCATTTGACTTCTTCCTCCATTACCACCATCGCACCACCTTTCTATCACCACCTCACTCTTACACTCCGCAAGAAACCCTCCCAACCCAAGCCCATCTTTCTCCCCCACCGCCGCCTAAGACACCAACAAAACAAATCCCCACTCGCCATAAACCCCAAACTACCCGCAAAGGGCGCAAACTAATAAGAAACCCTAAATCACCCTAAAAGAATCCCAAATACACCTATTAAAACTTCGATTATGGTTTTATTTGGTAAAATTTATCCATGAAAATTCTAGGTTTAGACTTTTCATGGTTAAATTTTACCATTAAAATCTCACACTTGAAAGCTTTAATGTTGGAGTTGGTCGTGGTTAAAGGGTGTATGCGGTGGCTGATTTTGTTGGTGGTGGTGGTCAAATGTTGTTGGTGGTGGTCAAAGCATTCGAGCGTGGCGAAAATGAAGGTGGGTGGGGATTTCGGTCGGGTTTGTGGTGGGGCGACGAAAATGAAAGTGGGTGGGGATTTGGGGCAGGTTTCGTGGTAGTTGTTCACTTGTTGTGGGTTTTAGTGATGTTGTTGGTGGGTAAGTGGGAGGGGAGGTAAGGTGGTAGTGAGGGAGGTGGTCTTGGAGGAAGATAAAGGAGGTGGTCACGGTTCATGGAGAAAGAGAGATGAGAGAGAAAAAAGTGGAGTGGCTTTTTTTATTAAAAAAAATGAAAATAAATAAAAACGATAAAAAAGTAACACGTAGGCAAGGTAACTAGTGATGTCAGCTTGGTGACCTGCTGGATTCGATACTGGAAGATGGGGTATAAAGGTTGGATTATTCTGGAATAATCCAAAGGTTGATTTATTTGGGAGAATGGGGCAAACGTTGGATTATTTAAAGTAATTTTTCCTACAAAATAAAGGCACATCATAATCATTAAAGAGTATAGGTAGCACCAACTCCTTGTTCCACTACCGTAGTCAACTCCTTGTAACTTAAGGTAATGTGCGAGGGGATGTTTAAAGTTGGAGTACCAACCCCTTTCAACATAGGCAACTACATCACACATCCACATTCCACAACGTACCTTTGTTTTACTTAAAAAATAAACCTCTCAACTATCACCACATGTAATTATCCCACATTGATTGAAAAAAAAGAAAATTATCACTTTATAAGGCTAAGAAGTTACTCTTTTTTTGTTGTCATATGGTTTTAAAATGAAACTTTTTTGGAGTTGTGAACTTGACCCTCTATCTTGGTTTACGGACGTAGCCCAGACTCAACATTGCTAGAAAGAGGGGCAATGTTTGTTTATTTTTGGAAATGACTAAAAATACCATTGCGAACACCTATAAGAGCGAGCTATAGCTTATACGTACGTTTTAATACAAAATGTTGAATAGACTTCTATTTGTAAATTATAACTAGATAAGAGATACGTAAAAGGGATTACCGGGTTATCCCTCATGACACAATTAATAATATTGGATATGAAACATATATAAAGGGACATATTAAAAAATTGAACTTAGACAATTTGAAATTGACACCAAATCATACCCAAAAACTGCCCTTCAACCCAAATTGCCTTGTTGTATCATTACACGCTAAAAGATCCACCAAATTGGGTTGAGCTTAGATTCACACTAGAACTTACTTTCTAATCTTAAATAAAGAATGTTGCAACCTTTTAATATTCAACCATAAACGAAGTAGTATTAGGTTTAGCGTGACACATTAGTTATATAATTGTTTGTAAACTAATTTTTCAAAATTCCTCGTATGCTTCGGTTTAGCTGACATCTTCTAAACTGACTAGTTGGTATCTCAATTGAATTATTTTACAATAAAAGACAAAAAACAAAGATTCATCAATATACAAAAATATCCATAATTTACTATAAAATTATATAAATAAAAATACAAAATTGATTCAACTAACTTTACTTACATTACATCCGTGATTCTCAAACTCCACCTAAATTCAAATTTCCAAAACAAAAATAAAATTGAAATTAACCCCACCCACAAAAAAAAAAAAAAAAAAAAAAAAAAAAAAAAAAAAAAAGAAGAAAATCTACAAATCCAGCCGTACAACGATGAACAAAAGATGACATTTCAAGTGAGATTCTAGAAGCGCACCGTATAAATACATGTATATAATTATAAACAATGTTAATTACAGTACTTTATATTAAAATAAAAAAAAGACAAAAATAATATTCTAAATTACTAATTAATTTACATGGGAGGCACAAAGGGTTGATGATGATGTTGAGGGATTCGAAACCAGACCTGCGACACCGGAGATTTGACGGCAACACCATGCCAACAAATGCCGCCGCGACAAATCTCAGCGCCGCCGCCTCCGCCGCCGTGAACATCGACTCGTGAAACTGCTTTCCGTGAGACATCCCACGTCAGCGTCGTCAGTAAAACCAACCCCACCACCGCCGTCGACACCGCCAGTACGAATATTCCGGTGAAGCTCTGCCCCATCATAAGGCCGTACGCCTTAATCGCCGCTATTAAGGCTAAGTATATCGTCATCAGATTTCCTACAACGGCGTCTGAAATCGCCATAGATGAATGAATTTGATTTTGAGGAGAGAGAAAGTGGGAGTAGAATTTTGGGATGAAATGAATGAGGAGTGAATTGGGGTTTAAGAATTCGGGGGATTTTTTATTTTTTATTTTTATTTTTATTTTTTAAAATTTTGGAGATATTTGGAATATATTTGAATAATATTGGGGTGGTGGGGTGGAGTTATCTTGGCTTTAAAGGGAGTTAATTAAGAGTGTATTTGAAGGGAGGCCCAAAGAGGTTATACCACGTATTTAGTTATTCAGATTTGTTTACGTGGCTATTGATTTTTGCGAGACCCATTTTTGAACTTCTCACCAATCTTTATCTTGTTTGGTGACAAGCAACTATGGCGTTTTCACTCCAATCCTATCATATCATATCATCACTTTAGGTAACATCTTTTTGTATACATCTGGATACACATATAACTATATAATTAGGTTTATCTAACCATTCATCTTCATTTGTTTTCAAGGGTCTGTTCTATTCAAATTATTTTCATTTCAATTTAGCTTTAATAAGTTCAGTTCAGTTTTTAATTTTCTTCTCTTATAAAATATTCAGTGCAGTTCAGTTTAGTTCAATCAATCAGTTTAGGCCCTAAATGTCTTATTGAGATATGCATAGAGTTGTAAAAGAATAAAGCAATACACAAAGTACAACAATATTGTTGAGGGTAAAAATACCTCGTACATGTGGACCAGTCCTGTAGTGACATGTGGCCCAGTTAGAGGGTGACACGTGTCACTATGGGAAGATGCCACGCATTCAGCTTAAAAGCACTCAAGAGCTCAAGCCAATCCTGTAGCGACACGTGGCCCAATGAGAGGGTGACACGTGTCGCTACAGGAAGATGCCACGTGTTTAGGGCATATATGACCCCTGAAATCAGCACGCAAAAGAGGCCTAATTACATCAGGGCCAAAATCCCGAGAGATATCATTGAAAGCCGCAAAGCGGCGCCCCCAAAACAACACGTGGCTTTCTCCGATTACGTAGTCAATCGCGTCACGCAATTTTAGGGTACAAACCCTAAAAAGGACACAAGCTCCACCCCTATAAATACCCCAATCATTTATGATGGGAGGGGTGGATTAAGACATTACAAGAAAAAGAGCATTAATATCTCCAACTTCTCTTTACTTTCTCTCTCTAGCCTTTTCCGTTTCCGATCACTGACTTGATCGTCGGAGGCGAATATTCTGACAACGGAATATCCGTTGTTTTGCAGGTGTCTCAGTCTCGTTGCCAAAAGAGCGTGACCAGTATCCGAGGAAATCCAAAAAACACCCGAAAAATTTGACGCCGTCTGTGGGGATACTCGTCTGTTATGGCAATAGACGGTCAGACACCTAATCTAGGCGAGGACGGACATGTAGAGGATATAATCCCTACAATCCATACCAGCGATCCTCTGATTGCCACATTTCAAGAAGTTGATGATCCTCCTATTACCGCAGCCTCTCTAAAGGCTGCACTCAACAAGCTCTGGAAGGAGTTTGAGAGCAACAGAGCCTCTACCTCTAGGCAGCCGCCCAGGAGAGAGGGGGACAGGGCTCCAAAGAAAGCACAAAGCAAAGCGGCTAATGCAACGGACGCTAGGAACACCCCATTTCGTAGGCCGACTGGAAGGTCCCCAAGGGTACCGCGGACAAATTTCTCTGATTTGTTGGCGAAAACACAGTCGGCTGGGGGGAGGAGTAGGCAGCCTCGAAGAGAAGAGCCTGAGCCGTATAGACGATGGAAGGACGCAAGGGATTACCTTCGGCATAAGCAGCGGGAACGTGCCGCTTACTCGGACACGGCCTCAACCCCAAATATGCCGGATGATTTTTCAAATCATTCTCTCTCCCAGCATACCAACACGGCCATCTCCAGCAGAAGTCAAGCTGTCCGCACTCCAACTCCTATTCCAGTTCAATCACTTCAATATCAACCTCCCCAGGGTTTTAATGGCTTGATGCAGCCGAATATCCAAGTCTTCGGACAATATGGGCCATACGGACAGACGTACGGTCAGGCTCCCTACCTGGCTAGACCGTCCGTGCAGCCACAACCAATTGACTGGTAGATGCGCCTGCTGACTCTGGGAGATAAGCCGCCTCCATTTTCGCAAGATATTTTAACTGCCACTCAGCCGCCGAAGGTGAAGAGTGTACTTGTGGGAGCTTATGATGGTACGGGCAACCCAGAAGAACACATCACCTCGTACAGAAACCTGATGTACTTTCCAAGTGTAGATGATGCTACCTGGTGCAAATGCTTTCCGGCTACTTTGAAGGGTGTGGCACAGGATTGGTTCAATAGCCTCCCGGCCGGATGTATCAATTGCTTCACTACTCTTAGTTTGCTGTTTGTGGGAAATTTTTCATACAACATACCGCCTCAAAAGACTAGCCTTAATTTGGCAACAATTGTTCAAGGGAAGAATGAGGGCCTACGGTCGTACGTCCAGCGATTTAACCAAGAAAAAGCCCAAATTCATAATCTGCCGGATGAAATGGCTTACTCTGAATTTCTCCGGGGATTAAGGCATAATGGTTTTAAATTTGACCTGGTAAGGAAAAATATTCGGACATACGCAGGTGTTTTGCGAGAAGCCGAAGCTTATATTGAAGCGGCGGACTTTTGTTCGCTCACAAAATCAGAAGCGCCGGCCAAGGGGGCTGAGAAGAAACAATCTTCTCAGCAAGACTCGGCCGGCCAAAAGAAAGAAGGAAAAAAGAGAAAAGAAGTCTGGGTGGCCGATGGCCAGCCGTAGAAGTCCAAGAAGGTCAAGACGTACGAGCCCCAGTATGAGTTCAACAAGGATTGTTACTCCATCTTGATGGAAATCAAGGATAAGTTTGAGTTTTAAAAGCCACAGCCACTGAGAGGACCGGCTCTGTACAGGAACAAGAACAAGTACTGTCATTACCACAAGGACGTGGGACATGACACGAACGATTGCATCAATTTGAAGAGATTATTGGACAAGCTAGCTGAGAAGGGCATGCTGAACTCGTATGTGATGAAGTCCAAATTCACTTACACACGGATAAACAACACGTCCGAGAAGAGGCAGAAAAATGACAAGAACAAAGACAAGGAAGATGATGGGAAAATCACTAATTCAAGCTTTGTGGCCGTGATATCAGGAGGTTTCGCCTCAGGCGGCCCAACCATGAAAGGGATCAAGCAGGACGCCTGGAACTTGGGAAAGGTGATGCAAGCGGATGCAGTAAAGGCCAAACCCTTTCCCAAAGTAATCATCAGCGAGGCTGACCGGGGGGAGGTCAAAGCCCTGCACAATGATCCCATGGTATTCATTATGAAGATAGCCAATTTGAAGGTAGGACGAATATTGATTGATACGGGTAGCTTGGCTGACATCATCAGCCTGGCCGCCTTGAAGAATCTAAGCTTCCCAGATGATGCTCTTCAGGACATCACTCACCCGTTGGTAGGATTTGGGGGGAATGTTATCCACCCGGTTGGGCGGATAGACCTACCCGTCCGCTTTGGGCAAAAAAGGGAAGGAAGAGATATGACTGTCCGCTTCTTGGTTGTAAAAGAACTGACTGGATATAATGTCATACTTGGCCGTCCTACACTGAATGCAGCCAAAGCAGTCATTGTACCTCATCTAATGCTGCTAAAGTTCGAGAGGACGGACGGAAAAATTGGGACAATCCAAGGGAGTCAGAAAATGGCTAAGGAATGTAATCAATTGGCCGTTAAGCCTACAACACGCGGACCAAAAGCGTCCGAACCAAAAGAAGAAGGAACCTCACTCCCAGCTTACCAGGTCGGCCAGAAGCGTAAGGCGGCCAAGATAGAGCAAGCAGAGCAGCTAATAACTGTCGGTCGACCAGAAGAGTTAAGGCCCCAGCCGGCTGGCAGTCACCAAGATATAGTGCTTGACCCAGATCAACCATGTCGGACGGTCAGTGTAGGCACTATAGCTTTGGGTATGCTTGGGGATGAGTTAGTTCAACTGCTGAGAGAATTCAAAGATGTATTTTCATTCGACGTTGGTGAGATGCTAGGAATAAGTCCTGACCTGGTCGTTCATAAGCTAGCTGTGAACCCACTATAGCACCTCCTCCACTATTTAGAAAACCAATAATAATAATAACGATAATATAATTAGAGAGAACTTTAGGAGTATTACCGCCACGTGATAACTTAAGGCTAACTCAAAACCAACTAACTGACAGTGGAACCAAAACCAACTTTGTTTTATTTACAACTTAACAAAGATTGCTGAATATTAAATTAATTGTGAAACTTCATCAAAAGGAGCCCTAAACTAGATGATCAATTATGAACTCCTAATGTAGCATTCTACCTCTGGTTCGAGTTACTCGCAACAAAAGAATATTTTATGTCTCACAAATAATATCCCTTTTTCGCGAGTAATAAGATCCGGAGGTAGTATATACTTCACTTAAAATCATGACCGCTTTTGAAAGTTGGTAAATAATGTAAATCGAAACAGAAAAGAAATACAAATTAGCAAAAACTACGCTAAGTAAATACACATGCAACAACGACTACGACATTTAGCATTCCAAATTTCTGTCAAGTGTTACACTACATTAATAACGTTATACATAATTACATTTGAATTACATGTATAAGGCTTATTAGTGAGTGAAATTCGGATAAATTTGTATTACACGTATAATGAATTTATAGAATAACAAAACATTGAAAAATAAAGGTTACAATAATTTATGAGAAATAGTTTTTAAAAAAAGGTAAAAGATAATTACTTATTAATTTTTACCACAAATTTGATGTCAAATCATTTCAAAATATTCAATTTTCCAGAATTTATCCATCTAATAAAATTATTTTCTTGCAAAAATAATTCAAGCTTTCATTTTCAAATTTCAAAAATTATAATTTAATATCTTTCTTTTAAAAATTCCTCTCTTAAAATCCATCATATTTTTCATCTTTGATTATTTTTTTATTTTTTTAGTTATAATATTTATTATGGTCTGTGTTTTTTTTGAGACGTCATTTATAAATATAATAACATTCTTATAAAAAATTATGATGTATTTATTCAATATAATGATGTACAATTAACTATCTACATTATGTTCTTTTCATATGTCCATTTATTATAGGAACAATTGCCACAATAATCCGACTTTTGCCTCATCCGCCCAAAATAATCTCACATTTCAACAATTTTGTTAATAATTTGACATTTAATGCAAATCCGCTTGTAGTGGTCCCAGGTGATTTGTAACCTAACAAATATGTATTTTTTTGGGGTTTAAAGTACACGTGTCACCACGTGAGTTATCTAAAATTTTAAATTAAAAAAAATTATATCAAAAAAAAGAAAAAAAAAAACTCACAACATCGGGGCAAGGGAAGGGGGCAAAGGTCGAAATCGGGTCGGGGG